GAGGCAAATGGCAAATGGGAAAAACATATACATTTACATACATAAACATATACATATATATATATAAACATAAACACATATACATATACATATAAACACATATACATATATATTCAAACATAAACATATACATATATATATATATATAGATATATATATATCCCTTGATATTTATAAATTATAAATAGGCCTATATAATATATCTATATATAGAATAGATCAATAGGGCTACCTCTGATCGTGTAAATCACGGACCCTGTTTAGGTAACTTGATCAATAATATTTATAAAACAAGTACGGTAAGTAAATGAAATAATTAAGTAATATGATAGGTCTATTACAAATTTAAACATGAATAGTCTGGAGTTTGTTGACCTAAACATAGTTAATTGGTTTGTCGATCTATCAACCACATAATAACCTGTTTTGGCGCGCTCACTTCCTTATGATCCGTGTGACAATGGGATCTCAATGCGCGAAATTGCAAAAGATGTTGGTTCCGGAATTGCTGAAATAGGGGCCGGGCTGCGCCTTTATTAATTAAAATATAAACAACAAATTACAAGCCCGAATGTATTAAAAAAGACAAATAATAATCAAGCATAATGATACACTATAGGATAATAACATTGATAATGATAATGATGATGATGTGAGGATAATGATGATAACAATGATAATGATGATGATGTCGATGATGTGAGGATATATGATAATGATGATCATGGTGTTATTGGAAATGATGATGATGATGAGGATGGGGACTTTTATGCATTATACTTGCAACTAGTTTGGCCACTTTAAGTGAAATATCCGCATTTTCAATGTATATACACCCCAACACCGTTATCACCTGATTTTCATGGTATAGGCCTAGTCATTGAATATGGTATTTTTTACTTATAGTCTTCAAATGCTGTCCGTCGTCGTCGAACCCAATTGATTCTTTTGTCAGTTAAATATACAATCACCCACAAAATCAATTTAAAAACCCTAAAAATGAAAATATAACTTGTAATTACTCATTAAACAGAACCACATAAGTTATCAAATCAAGTTTCAGATTTTAAAAAATCAATGATTTACAGACGTTTTTACCATAAAAATTATGCACTTTTGTTTACTGTAACTTGATTTTGTTTGTCGTCGTATTATTTAATAGTTTCTACACGTCTGTTTGTGGAACAAGCACCTTTTATTGGCCTTGTTTTTGTGGTTAAGTTTGATTAACACTCCATTCCATGCTTATGTTAGGTTGAGATTCCATAATGTCTTAAAGAATGATCTGTTCATGTCATCAGCAAAATGATTAAGTGGATGTCGACAAATTGAACAAAAGGACTGAAGACAATTTCCGTTGTGGGAACTCCCGAAACTGGTGTCTATGATGATAAGGAGGTTATTGGTTCATTTTAATATTTCCCGCTGTTCCATTTTAGCAGGAACAAATTATTTAACCCAGTTTTAACTCATGGATGTTATAATGCATATTCATTTATTCAACATTTATATATGCGAGTTTATTGAAGAGTATATGTGGTATGTACTACCTGTGCTAATATTCAACGTTATAATAAATATTCTACTTATATCGATAAATTAAGTACTTTAATAATTTAAGTAATTTTATTAGATTGTAAGCACGTGCGTTCTTGGGACAACAACACGTCGTGTTTGTGGGACATGCGTGTATTCCTTACCATGCTCTTATTACAGAAGTTAGTTGGTAAGTGCCACATTTTGGAAGGCCCTGTTCATTGAAATAAAAATGATCAAATACCGTAGGCCTACGTTGATAACGTAAAACAATTCAGCTTCCATTATTTAAAACGTCCGTCTTACTACATGCATATTAAAACGTAATAATAATAATAATAATAATAATAATAATAATAATAATAATAATAATAATAATAATAATAACAGTATTATTCCTTTTGAATGGAATTTTCCGTTATGTCCGTCATTGATAGGTGGCTTCATTCTACGTTCTCAATCGTGCACTGGTACGGTTGTTGGCAGACGAATCCATCTCGCTGTGGGCGGTTGAAGACACACCACCGCCAGTGCTGTTCTGTGTCGTTTTTGCGGCCGTTGATCCAGTGCGAGATTAAAATGTTTGTGGGACACGTGCGTATTCTTTGCCCTAATTGGTCAGTTGTTAAGTTGATATCCAGCTGAGTCTGGAATATTCTTTAATGAATCGAGTCATGCCTTCCCTACGATAGATTAAGATTAAACTTCCTTCACTACGTTGGCCTCCAAAGCATTTCATTAAAAAATGCAAATTAAATATCCGGAATAACAAATAAACAACGACAAACGGCCTATCATAGCCATCACCACCATCGTCCTAATCGTTTTTCCCCCCTATTCATCATTATCTGCTAGTATTAGGCCTAACAGCTCCCGGTATGTTCTGTTACCTTTTCCCACGCATTCTATGGCAGTTTTTTTAAATTGATTTACAAGATTTTTGTCTGGTTTAATGTTTACAACTGGGGCGGATTCAAAGGGGTGGGAGAAGATCCTGCCTGGGCAACTCTAAATTTTTCAAAATTATAAGAAAAAAAAAATGGAAAATCTCAATCCAATTCAGATGAGAGTGCCATTTCCGGCCATCTAAATAATAAATTTTCTTGCATCAGCCCCAACCATAGTGGGGCTGAGGTATCTAGTCTTAATGTCCCTCCCTGGGCCCCGTCTATTTCGAATTCCCAGATCCGTCACTGCACACAATGCTTTAGTGGAAAACGACAAGAGGATCCGGAAACCTAGAAACTACTGTATATAATAAAACACGCATTGCTACTGTTGTTTTAGAAAAGAAAAGGTATCATTTTTTGGAGTGTGATGGCGCTCATCATAAATTAATTCAAATCGGAAAAATTAATATGGTCAGCATTTAATGAAATATTGAGAAAAAGAGAAACAAATTATTAAAGCATTTGCCTTTAGTCTAAAATGAAACAAGTCCTATGAATTCTACTAAATATAATTTCAATCATTGAAAAACATATTACATCATTCTTTGGCAAAACGTATTAGGCCTAAGTGGACATTATTCAACATTTTCAGTTTACAAAATAAAATTCATCCGATTCATAAAAACTATATTTAAAGCATTGTCTTGATTTTAAATACACGACACCCGAGAAAAACTGTAAAAATGCAATAATACTTGGATTTGGTAATTAAAAAAAATCCTTAGTTATAAACAATCAATTTCTTATTTATTTACATACTTTACAACAACACGTTTAAACATTTGCTATAGTACTGGCTTTACCTGTTAATTGATGAAAAAATTTGTATTTAACTAGCCATAATTTTACATAGCAAGCTGATAGCAATATCAAAATATACGAAGTAAGCAATTATTAAAACAAAAGTAACAAATTAAAGTTGAATAAATCTCCATGGTATCTTTCATATTTTGGTATGAATAGAAGTAATATAAATAAGTAAATAAAAAAAATGCATACTACATCTCAGCTAATCATTAATTTTAATATTAGGCTAAATACTACATAAAATGAAGTTCGAAGAAAAACAAGAAAAAAAAAACCAGCTCTATGACATTAAATGGCGATACAAACTAACACCCTAGGAACTTTGTTAGAAAATAGGTACAGTATTCAATCACCTCTTGTAGCAAAGCTGGTAGATTAGCAGCTCTCACACCGATGTTTACTTCCAGAAGTCGCACGCTACTTTTGTTCCATGATGTCTCCTTCTAGAAGCCGCACAAGTTGTTACGAGTTAAAGTCTTGTTAAACTCGTGGTTTAAACTGGCAGAAGTTACTTTTGTTCCATGATGTCTCCTTCCAGAAGTCGCACAAGTTACTACGAGCTAAAAACTCGTGATCTTAGTCAGGAGTTACTGTTGTTCCACGGTGTCTCCTTCCAGAAGTTGCACAAGTTGCTGCGAGCTAAAGTCTTGTTAAACTCGTGGTTTAAACTGGCAGAAATTACTTTTGTTCCACGATGTCTCCTTCCTGAAGTCGAAAAATTGTTACGAGCTAAAATCTTGTTAAACTCGTGGCCTGACAGAAGTTACTTTTGTTCGTCATATTATTGGTTTAAGACGATAAATAATAATAAAAAATATTAGACTCAGATGATCATAATACTACGGTATCAATATCAAATTTCAAATAAACAGTGGCGTATCTTGAATTGGAGGGGGGAGGGCTGATGGGGAGCGCGAAGTTGAAGTGGGGGAAGGGGCTCGATGATCAGTTGAGGGCCCCTAATTCGCAATATTTGGTGTTTTTAGTTGATTTTTAACTACTTGACCTTGATTTTTTTCGGGGGAGGAGCGACTGGGGGGGAGCGACTGGGGGGGAGCGACTGGGGGGAAGTGACTGGGGGGAAGTAATTTTTTGGGGAGAGTGCCGCCCTCCCCTAGATACGCCACTGAAAATCAATGAATTGGTTCATTCAAACACAAGCAAGGAAAGAAAAGCACAATTACATCCTCACTAAACAAAAAAAATATTAATTATAAAATATGTTCATTGTCAACATTTTGGGGGGAATCACTGAAGTGATAATTTTAGTGCAGCATTTATTAGCTAGATTGTTAAAATGGTACCACATTGTATTGTACAGTGAACTATCTAATATGTTGCAGTGTTAATATGATTCATAGTTTCTCGACCATATAAAACTCCCAACTTATTCAAAATGTAATATATATCTAACAAACATGCAGAACTGGAGAGTGAGTAGCACCAGGTAGCGCTTCATGAAACATCATCCATGTTTGATGTGAAGCTTGAGAGCACCGCGTATCCAAAGAAAGTGCTCACTAGACTATTTTCAGTCAGGGGTGGCACCAGCAGGGAGAGCTGGCCCCACCCCCGTCGGCGAGAAAAAGCACAGTTCGTCGGGGAGTAAAAAAAATTATATGTATTTTCTACATATTAGTAGACTCTAAAATCGATTAAATAAGCCTTTGAAACCCCTGAATTGTCAATGTTTTCGGGGGCTTCGCCCCCTGGACCACTCTCAAAGCCTTTTAATCGAAGAAAATTTCAAAAACATCATAAAAACGATAGAACCTCATCATTCCAATGTCTTAGTGTTAACATGAATTATATACTATATGTATTGACAGTTTAATAATTACATTTTTATTGTATCAAGGTTTAAAAACATCAGTCAATGAAATATATAAAGAATTTCAATTCAACACCTTTCATCATTTTTTCCAATTGGCACACTACAAACTTTTCATTATTATTATTACTACTTTGGAGCATCACCTTCAATTTGAACCCAACTTATATATTGCATGTAATCACAGTACTAATAAAGCCCCTATAAAAATTTTGTTGTTATTAAATTTAAAAAAAAAGTTGTTGGACACCAGTCAATGTAATGTAAAACATGCCAATTCAATGCTGCCACCTCTCTGGATCTACTTTGGAGCATCTTCTTTAATTTGAATTCTAATGACACTATCTAAAATATCCGGGATCCAATCACGTACAAGGACCAAAGGTTTAATCATGTGTGGGTAATACACCTCACGTTGCCTAGTAACTGTACCCCTGATGATAGCTAAAGCAGTGTCAGCAGAAGAGGTTGAGAATATAGCTGTGTCCAGTACTCGCTTAGAATACTCAATAGCATTTGCTGTATTAATACTTCCTGTAAACGAGAAAAGATACAGTAAACTTACAATACAAAAATACAGTCAGTTTACTATTTATTCAATTTCAATATACTATACTATACTTGGGGGATAGGGAAAAATTTAAATGTTTATTATAGGCTATATCATCGGTCATGTTGAATAATCATGATAATTATATTCAGCATATACAAGGGTGTCAGCCTTAACTTTTATATGCTAAAAACACCATCATTCACAGCCTCTAGATTAAAAAATTTTCTGGGTGCCCCGAACCCCCACCCCCAGCAGCACATGCCATAGAGCATGTACCTACGGTACACATTGGGTCGCGGAGGCACCCGTATAAAAAGGTCACCTTTGGCTAAAAAAAGACCCACCCCCCTTGGAAGTCTGGCTACGGGCCTGCTTACTGTACCTCAAGAACCAACTAATTAACAAAACAAAAATGCTATTTGCACAAGCCTGGAAACCATATTACTGTGACCCTTGCATTAAAATAATTAAGCCATCTCCTTCAGTGTGTTCCAGGACAAACCAAGAAGTTAACCTAGTCAAGGAGTTCCTTCAACAGTCGGACCCAGCATATATTTAGATGCTAGAAGAATGTTGGATGCTGCCGTTGGGATGCGACTGGCATCAGTGGGAGTAACAAAACTGTACTTACTGCTATTACACCTTACAAAAAAATGTGAGAAATGCATTACTTACCAATAATACAAAGTGTAACGGATATGTCTTGGCTTTTGAATATCAGCTCCTGTCGAAGTGCACCGAAAAAGCCACCAAGTGCAAACTTAGAGGCAGAGTAAGCTGCTGTATATGGTACACCAACTTTACCTATCCAATGTAACAGAGAGAAATGGTTCTTTTAAAACTAGAAATCAGCTTAAATTTGTATTAATTCCGAGTTAATTTTCCTGCTTAAGTCAATTTTATCAATATTGCTTAGCATAAAAACTGCTTAAAATTAAAAGGTTGATTTACGCATGCGCCATCTAAGGTAATTTCTAAGCTAAGATTTTGCTAAGATTGTTTGATAAATCACCGTAAGATATTTACTTTGAGACATCTTAACTTTCTTGACTTTTGCTATTATAAGCTGAGATTGATAAATCCCGGGCCAGATATTGATTGTTGTATCAAGTGATAAATATGTGTGACTTTCCCATATGGGCAGGATGTCATATATGACATCCACATTTGCAATTCACAAAAATATTAATAGGCAAAATTTAAGGATAAATATAAATATTCCAGAAGATACAGCTTCCTAAAAACCATACAAAGTTATAGGAGCTTTTACAGGAATGAAAAAGGGGGAGTGGTACTGAAATTTCAAAAGGTCATAACTTAAAAACCACTTGAAAATTTAAGCTGAAATTTTGGATTTTCATAATTTATAATTTTTAAAAGGAAAATCCAAGAGGATGACAGGGACATGGTGGTTGATTTGAGCCAGGATGACCCTATTATGTTGTGAAATTAGGTTCAAAGTACGTTTCATTTCATTTTTTCATTTCAACAACATTTATTTCTTTCATCCTTTCTTAAATATTTAAACAAATAGAAGTGCATAGTTCTACAAAATAATATTTTCAACACCAAACGATAACATAATTATAATGTTCAAATAACGTAATATTGTTAGATTGGAAAATACCTGCAAATGATGAAACCACTCCAATAGACCCCTTACTTGCTTCAAGCATTGGTAGAGCTTCAGTTGCTAGACTGACGTATGCTCTAAAATTTACATTCATAACTTCTTCTAATCTCTCCATGTCACCATTCCATGTCTCCATGTAGTTGCTAGTTATATGGTTTAGAATGAGGTAGTCTAAGCCCCCAAACTTAGTCTTAGCTTCCTGTATAAGGCGTTTTGTGTGGTCCAGATTGCTCATATCAAGAGGTAAATAGAATGCTTGTTCTGCTCCAAGTTCCTTACACTTTTCAACCACCTGTGAACCAACAGTGAATTAAAATAGTTATTGTGGTAGCGGTTGCCAAAGCAGTTTCTTTTTTTGGCAGGGGTGAGGGCCAACCACTAGTCTGGTTTCTGTGCCATTCCTGGCCTGCAGCTTTGATTTTGTATTTGGGTTAACTATGGGAACTAGTGGAAAAGCTCATGTGCAGGTCAGGTGGAAGACTTTTCCCCTTGGAGTCCTTGTGGGTGGGGGGGCGCCAGCTCTTCCCGACGTGGGGACTGTCCACGCCCTCTTTTCGTCGAAGAAATCCGCTCCACCCCGTCGGGAACCTCGGACCCCCATTCGGCGCCCCCACTGCATGTGACCCCCCCCTGTTTTGTCGCTAAATTGTACAAATTTAAATGCATAAATGTCAAGTGCTCTCACTTATCTATCCTGAGACTGCTGTTCACCCCTGTTCCACAGTGAAAAAAGAATGGTTTGAGTTAATGGAGGGTTTAGTTTGCAAAGGGGGCTCAGCTGAACCATTATTATAAAAACCATGGCTAATTGGTCTGCATGCATGCTTTACTTATATGATTATTATTTATTGATTTTTAACTTCAGGACCAAACAAAAACTGAATTTATACAAAGTAACACACAGAGTGGGCCTATATCGATATCCATTTTAAGGATTGCTCAAATGTTGTTAGAATTTAAATTTGAATGAGATATTGTTATTTTATGAATAAAAAAAAAATGCAAACATAATATTACAAAATACAGTGCATACCTATACTGTTACAATATGATAAAATCCCAGACAGCGTCCTTGTCCCATTAATAGGTGTGTCCCCTTAAGAGGGGTTGTCCATAGTGTTAAAAGATATGTTAAATTCTCTTACTGTTCATCATTTATATACAAACAAAATAATTTCTGTTTTTATGTACAACTGTGAGTAAAATCAGTTGCCATTAACTTTTAATCGTTTTTTCAAACATATGATTCCGTTCACACAGTGGCGGTGCAATCGGTGGGCAAGGAGGTTTAAACTCCCCCCACCCACCATCCAGAGCTTGTAGGTCAGTCAGTCCAAAAAAGAAAGAAAATAGGCTATGAAATGAAATGCTTGTTTATTTAGTGGAATTTGAGGGTATAATAACAATATTGTATTTTATTAACTTTACATTCAAAGTATTTTTCAAGTCTGAGATTGCCATTTCCGGCCATCCAGGGGTCCATATTAAAAAAAAATCTCATTAAGTGGGAACCCAAAGTTATCCTTATCTCACTCAACCCCTCCTCCCCTGACAGCTTAGCCAGTAATTTATTATTTGTATTATTCTTGATATGCTTTATTTAATATTAATGTGTGATTATTGTTGGCTCCTTTTGTTCATTGTCTTTCATTTATATGCTGTTTAACTACTGTAAATTATTTTATATATATTTAAAATTGGTAGTTTGTAATTTTAAGCATTTGTATAATTATTTCTAATGTATTTTGATTTGATTTGTCCATTTTAACTTTTGTAAAACGCATTGAACAGTTTGTTTTAATTGACAATACGCTATATACGTTATTATTAATATTATTATTATTATTATTATTATTTTAATTTGTATCTTTAATTTGCGAAAATAAATGAGTTTATTTTAATGTGACTTACCTTTTTTAGGACTGCCTCCCTTCGTGCAGTCACAACTATTTTAGCCCCAAGACGTGCAAAGTGATAGGCAATCTGCTCACCGATGCCGGTGCTCGCTCCTGTGATAACAACTCGTTTTCCCTTAACAGAATCTAAAATACAGAAGTTTTAGTGTGAAAAATAGACAATAAAAACATACCGTAAAGTTTGAACCGAAACCAGTAGGCCTACCCGTGGATATAAATTTTGAAAGGCAAATGGGGAAAACCCATAACAGCAAACGGCCACATAATGCAAAACTATTTAAAATATATATTTCCTTGCTTTGGCTCTGTAATCATTAGTTCATTAGTGGTCGTGGGACTAGTTTGGGCCCTACCTAAGCTGGTCGAACGTTTCGTTTGGGTCTATACCCTAGCTGCACTGATGAGGCCTGGAAGGCCGAAACGGATCCGTCTGCAGATATTGGAATTCCTTCCAGTGGATGCTTAGATTATTTTGTCATTCTGATCGGATTTTCTCTACTGTTCCGTTTTAATTTTATAATATCATTCAGATTACGTTTGCTGCGTAAAAACAATATTTATAAACAAATAATAACAGTGTTCGTATAGGAACGTGATGTATCGTTTTTTGTTATGAAAACTTCCTTATTCAGTATAAAAAAGAAGTTTATCTGGCGAATTCGAACCTGCCTCTATCTATCAAGGTATCATTTGACAACAGGGACATTTCGCACAGATCCCCCCCCCCCAGGCCAGCGGCGTAGCTAGGAGTGAGAACTGCCACCAGTGTGGGGAAGTGTTGCTGGGAGCCATCAATTTCCCCTGGTGGGGTTGGGGAATTCCTCTCCGACGTAAATCTTCCATTTTGAATACAGTACACTATAAAGAATGAAAATTCAAGCACTGTGTACTAATAAATAATGTTTATTTCAGTGTACACTTTTAAATCAGTACATGAAAGACAAATACCCCAAAAATTATAAAATACATTAAAACAGCAGGGTTGGAATTTGAGAGGACTGGGCCGGCCGCCCGCCCCCCCCCCCATCCCTTTTGGAAAGTGAAAAAAACAAAGAAAAAAGAAAGAAAGAAATAATTGATCGCCAAAACGCCTCAGAGGTTATTTTCGGCGTCTAGAAAACAAAAATTCGCGGGGAAAATCCCCCAGGTCCCCCTAGGGCAGTGTTGTCTCGATCGACCCAGTTTCGCCGCCCCCACCCCATTCGAACATCCCTGGATCCGCCCCTGAACAGTAAATCCTAAAAACATTTAAACACAGTAAAACACAGTAAAAGAGAGCAGACACACCTCACATTAAGATACAAACACATTAAAATACGATAAAATACATGAAAATAGTACTGTACACCCTAAAAGCATTAAAATACAAGACTTTTGGCAAGCTTTAGACGTTGGCAATTTTAATTGCTTTCTGACACTGCCATCCTACTTCGGCATAAAGAACAGTATGTTTCAAACTTAACCACAATTTTAATAAGTTAAACAACATATTTAGGATCCCATCCACACTTTACCTCCAACACCAACCATAAATGCTGGTATACTAAAGCATGGTATAATGATAAACGTTTTTGTATTTACCTTGTACTCCTAGTAATAAATACTAATGATAATAGGAACCTTTGTAACTATTTCAAGAGGGAAAACCTTTTTGTATTTTCCTTGTACCCCTAGTAATAAATACTAATGATCTCAGCTGCTAGTTTTAATCTAAATAATCAAGAAAGTTGGTGCACAATAATCAATATTTACTACAGTATTCTAAAAACCTAAATATCAGAGGGCTGAAGGCAATTTTTAAAGGAAATAATGGCTCCTAAGGCTTCTATTTTCCATAGTGTACGCAATTACTTAACTATAATTGCTATTATAAGTCAGTTGTGAGTCCATCACCTTTTATGTGGCCCTTTAATCAAACTACTGGATGTAGAACAGTTGATATATGTATTCATAAATCAAACTGCTGGTTACGATGGCAGTTGCTCAGTGATCACTGTGCATGTGCATTACCTCCACACATTAGAATGACTGGCAGTTCGTTCACTGACACTCTTCGCAGTTCTTCGAGATATATACAGGTTTTCGGACAGGTCGTTGAACTAAAAATATTAATTTGCCTATTCAAATAACTTAATTTTGATTGCCAATTGTGCTCTAAATGATGAACCCCACTAGGGGTTTTACTACATGACCCTGGCCGATGCTTAAGTTGGCCCCTTGGTTCGCAGTGTCTGTCGGACACTCTGTTAGCAAATTCATGGCACTACCGCTTGCCTCTCCTACCACCACCCCCTAAAAATGTTCCAACATTTAAACAAAATGGCAAAAATTCAAATCTAAGTTTGAGAGTTTCTTCTACCTTACTGCCCCATGGTGGCTTGAGGTAGTCTGAACACTCAGTCTGTAAAATTCCCTCCCTGGGCCCTGTATAATTCAAATTTGATCATTTTTGGAATTGGTACACAATTCCAAAAATGATCAAATTTTTGGAATTGTGCATCAATTCCAAAAATGATCTATTTTTTAAAATTTTTTTTTGAATTGGTACACAATAAGTTTGGAACATCATCTTAAATTTTAACCCAAATTATATATTGTATTTACAGTAATAATTACATAAAATTTTTTTTATAAAATTTATAAAAAGTCATTAAAATGTGGTTAACAATAAATGAAACATGTCAGTTCAATGCCACCACCTCTCTAGATTTACTCTGGAGTATCTACTTTAAAGTTACTTCGAATGACACTATCTAAAATATCAGGGATCCAATCACGTACAAGGGTGATAGGTTTAATCATGTGTGGGTAATACACCTCACGTTGTCTAGTAACTGTACCCCTGATGATAGCTAAAGCAGTGTCAGCGGAAGAGGTTGAGTACATATCTGGGTCCTGTATTGCTTTAGCAGCACTACGAGCATTTGGTGTATCAATACTTCCTGCACAAGAGAAAAAATAGGGTCAGTTTACAATACAAAATCACAGTACAGTTTGCTATGCTATTCATGAATATATCTACAAAAATTGCTCCCTCCCCAACGTTTGACCGGTTTCACCTTTAATTTGTGACTACGTACAAGGATTATATAATAGGCTTAATGGTTTTAGAAGAGGGCCCACTGAGAATCAACAAATTTCTATTTTAAACGTGGTTTCTTCCAAGGGGACTCCCTTTCGCAAATCATTCCATTCCATTATTGATTTCTTGAAATCTAAAGTGTACACCCATGGATATGACCTTGATGGGACCAAATATGTAACCCTTTCATCTGCTGATGACTTTTGTTTAATAACTAAAAATAATAAAGTCCACCTAATTCTAATTCTATGCAGATACTCATTAATGCCTGTTCATCATCTGGATGAGGTCAGGGGCTGTGAGATGGACCAGTACACCTGGGTTACCCACTACTTGTCTCGAAAGATGTACTGGGTTCTTTATAGTGAAAATGAGCCAATTGTGTATATTGGGCCTATGGTTTATAGTCCTTATTCGAGAAGACTTGCTCCACCTCCAGGGCCATAGGCAAGCATGCTATTTTGAACCAGCGCTGATATCATGTCTGTATGTTGAGGGCCCTGCTGTAACCGCTCGGACATTCTATGCATCAGTCGATCATAAACAAAATTGTTAGGATAACAAAATCTATGAGGTTAAATTTAAAACTAGTCAAATGTGAAGTCACCATCAATCCGCTGGGGTAAACCTGATAACTGTGAAATCAAACTGTGTGTTCCATGGGCGTTGATCGGTGGGGGACAGGTCCCCACTTTTCAAAGTAGGGGGGACATTATTATCATTTGTCTCCCCCACTTTTCACCTATCTTCTATAGTTAAAACCCTGTATGCGCTCTCGTGCGGTGGTCCGCAGGGCAACCAACCCTTAGGGGTCCCTGCAGTGTACCTACCCATAGGATCCTTGCTCTATAACACCCTGATCTAAAAGGGGCTTTGTTTATACGTAACATAACAGCATAATGTCTATGACAAGATATATAAGACATATATAATATTGTTCCAGTGGGGATGGGGTGACCAGCAGCGCTGACCAGGACCCCTACATTTGTCATTATTCTTTTTAGAAATAAAGATAAAATATTCAAGTCAATAATTATTTCACAACGGATCAACACCCTTGGTGTGTTCAGTAGTTTTGGTTTTTTCTTCTCACAGAACACTCTTATGGATAATAATGATGTTTTTAATTGTCTTCTTCATTTTATTGTATATTATTATAATTGATAACAGATAAAAAACCATTTAGATTTTTATTCTTGAATTTGGTAAATGTTGGTTTTATGGCAAATTGTTTTTTTTTTATTAATTTTTTTTCCTTTCCTTTTTGATATTTTTAATTGTTCTTGTAATTAGGTCAGACTTTTTTTATACCTTGTTTAGTGAACCAGCGAAACGCAAATATTGATGATTTTTGAAAATTTTTTATTTTTGGCCAATCAGTGCACCTGCTGCCCCGAAAAATGGAATTGCCTTGAAATCTCCAAAGATAAGTATATTTCTTTCTAATTATATAAATTTGAAGCATCTTACATTCACCAATAAAATTTTGATTTTTATTTTCTCCTCCACATGGGTTTTTTTGGCAAAACTATTTGCTAAATATGAAAACAAAATTTTATTTTCATTTTTTTTCAACCCTCCTCCAATAATCTTTAAAAAAATAAGTATGCGAAACAAGGTATAAAAAAAGTCTCGTCTTATGAGTTTTTAAGTATATTTTTAATAATCAAAATTGATAATTATACTTTTTTATCAATATTTTTGCAAATAATAATAATAACCAATTAATATAATGAATTTTAGATACTTAGAAATTACTACTAATTGTAATAAGGATTTTTAACATTTTATTGTTAAATTAATAACAGAAAATATTTTTATATATAATAATATTTAAATAATAATTGATGGCTTTTTGATTTTTAAATTTTAAAAAAAATATTTTGAATATATATATATACACATTTATG